GGGATTGCTGTGCGGGCACTTCTGGAGCACAGCTTTTCATTTGTCTTATGGTTGTCAACACTTCCCAAAGGTTTCTGTCTGCATGGCTTCCTCTGCTTGCTTGGGAGGGTCCTATGAGAATGCACAGGGCTGGGAATCCCATTCCAAGCCTTGGCCAGAAACCAGTGCAAGATTGGTGTTAGAGCGCCTTGTAGGATGAGCTATTGGTGAAGCACGGCTTGAAGCGAGCAGGAGAGAAAATAGTGGGCTTATTATTGATTGAAAACCATCAGTCCTCTCCCCTCCCCAAGTCTTCTGGTCTTTTCGCTTATACTCATCTCCAGCATGTCTCAGCCAGCCAGTTGGGTGCTCTTGTCCTTGCAGCAAAAACTTGCTGGATTGTGTGAGTTTTGATTTTTGTTTCACAGAATTTAACGTATGTATCACCTAGGCTTTGATAAACAAGCTAGCAGGAGAAATATGTGCAGTTTCTCACCACTGCTGTTTTCCAACTGCTTCATTAAATCTCAAAAACTGAAATCTTTCTTTGTAATACGAGTTAAGAGGGGTGGAGATGGTGCTAGTTCTCAGTCTCAGAAAAGCCGTAGGATTTTATAATGCGATGGAAGCATTTTGGCCCTATTCCAACTTCCATCTCCATCATCTTGCATCCACCACCTGATTAGCTGTGTGAGGAATGCTGGGGATTATAGTCCCATAGCAAAATAAAAGAGCCTGCCTTCCTTCCTTCCTTCCTTCCTCCCTCCCTCCCTCCCTCCCTCCCTCCCTCCCTCCCTCCCTCCCTCCCTCATGATAATTGGAAATGGCAGTCAGAATTATTTTGATGGAACTGTTCTACTTGGAATATAACTGGGATTTAGGCTTTCTTTATCTCGTTCTGCAAAGTTTTGTGCAATGAGTATGCACCTATTTCTTCAGTTATAAAATAAAACTTTATATCGTTGAAGTCCAAAAAAGCCGGAGTAGATTGTCTACCATCATGGTTGGGATCATAATGTATCTCAAAAGTATCTGCAGAATGAATAATTCATCAAAATGGTGAAATAGGTATTTTGTGTAAGCTGTGCCCTTTTTTGTATGTGTGAGTATCAAACATCACAGTGCTGCTGATGCCTAAAAGCAGACGTATAAGCTTTAACTATTGATTAAACCATTTTCAAAATGCGCTTTGTTTTATTCTGTTTTTATTTTGCTTTTAATTGTTAGCCACCCAGACTTAAATATATGGGATGGGTGACTTATACATTTAATTAATTAATTGTGGGAACGAGACTCGCTCTAACATGAAGTTCCATTTACCCATCAAGAATTAATTTTTCTCAATAGAACTCCCTATTTTTCCGTGAATTATTTAATCTCTGTTCAGAGCCTGCTAAATTAGTGCATGTTACTACATCCATTATTGAAAAGTAGATAATACTTTGCCATGCTATCCTTTTAATAATGTTTATTTCAAAAGGATATAATGGCAAACTGCTCACCGGTTTGAAGTTGCTTCCACGAATTATGGTTTCATTAAGTGGAGAAAATAGAAGATGGGATGAGTCATTTTGATTTCAGAAAGGATTCAGAATAATCTGTTTCCCAAAATATTGAGAACACTAGGAATTTTCACTCACTGAAATCCATTTTTAAACAACAGCAGTTTGGGAATTGTAATTTTGGATACGTATATTTAGCCCAAATGTTCTTGTTGCTGGCATTCTGTGATTCTTAGCCTGGAGCTTTTTAAATATGTTGTTAATTTATGAAATCATGGCTTCAGGTATTCAATTGAGACTCCTGCTTTTTTTGAGGACTATATGCCCATCCTTATGTACCAAAACCACCTCCTCTGGGCGTTAATGACACATCAGTCAATTCTAAGGCTGCGGGGAGTGCCTGCAATTGCCTTTCTGCGATAGAGGGGGATTCCTGAGTGGCTTTGATGGAAGATGCGTCTGTGGATGATGTTGCAGTTTGGAAACCGGTAGCCGAGAAAGACACAGTGAAACCTGGGCTGCTTTTCGTGGATAGATGAGAAAAGGTGTCTGCAGTGTTTGTGCTAATTTTCATACTTAAAAAAAAACCCAAAGCAGCAGTGTAACATTGAAGAAGTAATCAGATTATTGTCTTGTGTGTTTCAGCAAGGTTGGAAAAGTAGTTTCCCCTAATAGTCTGTGGTCTTAGTAGAGCTTTTCTGACCAGGGAGGGACCCTCCTTGTTTCTGCTAGGATGGCTGCTGAAGACATGGGAGGCCTGGCTGACGCAGCAGGAGGGGAGCTGGACCCAAGTGGGGCAGCTTTTGCCAGCCCCGGCGGTTGTGGGATCCTGAGGGAAGAAGCGCAGAGAAGGGTCCTACAGAGAGTCCTCCCCTTTGGACCGTTCATCCAGCAACTCCAGCCTCCCCTTGCTCCCCCGACCGCCCCCCCCCCCATGCTCCACATGACTTAGAGAGAGAGCCGGGATTCTACAGGCGCCTTGCTTAATGACCACAAAACTTTCATGATCATCATTCTGCGCTCAACTGTGGCTGTGAGTCCAAGACTACTGTAGAGTGCTCTGAACCATCTTTGAGGCATTCAGTCTGAAGAAGCTCACAGCCCTCTGAGCGCTTCTTCCTCTTTTGCCCATTGCCGAGGATTAAAAACTCGCCTTCGGTTCTGCTTGGTAAGCAGCACTTCATCCTGGCTCCCTCGTTGGTTCACTGTTTCTGAACAGCAGCCCTGGAACTGTGGCTCCTTGGAAGTCAGGTCTCATGGGAGAAATGGTAGTCTTCATTTAAGGCACAACTTTATTAAGAAGTGTTTTCAGATCAGCTGATGGAGTCATCTAACACTCAGGACACTCTTAAACATATTTAGAAAACATTAAGTAGTGAATACTTCCTGAGGGTAACTAATAGTTATTGGGCACTCTGCTTCTGAAACATTTTTATCCTAGCATTTATCCCTAGTGTGTTTCTGAAGTTGTTGACTGAAGTGTATGAGTCACAAGTTTTATTTAAAAAAAACAACAACTTCAGGTAACTGATCTAGATATCTAGTTGATTATAACAAGATGTCTCTAACATAATGGGGTTTAGGAAACTCTTTTTGAGGCCTTCCAAAATAGCAACCTCCTTGCAATCCAGAGTGAGTCAATAAATCAGGATTTAAAAAAAAAAACACAAGCATTTTTAATATGCTTATAGTTCAATCTGTTCTCCACAATGGAATGTGCTGATTTTAACCCTGGATAATGAACACATTTCTAATTGCATTTCCTATGATGCAAAATTTGGTGTGTGCTGTTATTGGAAAAGTATAACCCTTTAACTTTGTTCCATTGCTACCAGTGTTGATGGGATTTCATCCCAGGGAGGCCCTGGCAATGGGCCAGGCAGACTCCCTCCGGAGCAGAGCGCTTGCAGCCTTGGGCCAGAAAGGACGGGGTCCTCCGGCCGTCCCATTACCGAAATGCTCTGGCCCTGCCTTTGCAGCATGAGGCAGAAGCGGTTTATTTTCCCAGACATTTTAATAAGCCTGTTCGTTTTTTTAAATGCTTCTATTTTAAATAGCCGTTTTGTTTTATTATTGCTTTTTTGTTTCAATATTATGCATTTTAGCGATAGTGTTTGAATATTTTTGTTTTAGAAATCCCTCTGAATGTAGTTTGTCTATTCAAGCCCACTTCCTCTCTGCAAGGACCCAGCTAAAAAGCCTGAAGGCCCAGTGCAGACTGTCAACTCCAGCTATTTCTGTTCCTTGTACAACTACTTAGAACCTCCTGTTTATTTTGAATTTGTGTAAAATGTATTTAGAATAGTTGGCCAGTAGTTACATTGCTGAATATAAGCATTGATATAAAAAGCATTTAGTAAATGCACCTGATAATCAGAAAGTTTTCAAAACATCCCCAATCCACAGCAAGGAACAGGGCAGCTAAGCAGCCTCCGACATCCCACCTAAAGCCTTAGAGCTTGCAGGGGTAGGCAACCTTGGCTCTTTTATGACTCGTCGACTTCAACTCCCAGAATTCCTAGAATCGCCAGAATTCCTAGAATCGGTGAAGATGGTGCTCTGCAGTTGGCCCTGGGCAAACCTCAGCATACATGTAATGCTTTTTCTTTTTAAACATATCCCCTTTCTTTTTGTTACTTTAGACATGCACAAATGGGTTATTGTACATGACAGATACCATTTTAAAGGTTACCATTAGATCATCCGCACAATGTCCCTGTATTTGCTTCCCTTTATTCGATTGTGATAGATCTTGATGTCCGCATAGACTTTCTTCTTGTGGAGGGGGTCCCTCTGCTTGTGCCGTGTGTTCTCAACAAACTTTTGTACTCTTCCTTGGACCCAATAGAGGGGCCTGTGAATTGTGCTGAGACCATGAAAGATCTGTGTGGCTCTCCCGATAACCATGTGGTGCAGAGCTGTGGGGGGAGTCTGTGGGCAGCACTGATGTCCTGCGGTGTGCCCTCCAAGGGCCCCTCCTCTGAGATAACAAAAGAGCTGCACAGAGAACCTCAACCTGCGGGTGGGGCAATGAGGAGGAGGGGAGGGGAACAGTGCAAGCAGGTCATGCAGACCCCCTCTGTCAAAGAAGAAGGGGGCCATTCAGCACCTTGGTTCCCATGCATTCAAGGTCTTGCTTTTCATGATGGTGCTGTCTGTGCTTCTATGCAGGAACAGAAGCGCCCTGGTTAATTCATCAGCATGGCCCAGTTGCCATAGTTTTGAGACCAGTTTGCAGAAGGTTAAAAAAAATACTTCAAGTTGCACCTTGAAATAAGAGGTTCCCCAAAAATCACCTTTGGGACAACCATGACCTCGATGACTGAGAACCTCCATAGACTAGAAGTAAGAGGCTTGACAACCGTCTTGCTACTACCGTGAGCTGAGGGAATGTGCAGACAAGCATACATTTTTTTGTGTACAGTAGCTTGATAGCAACTTGGCTTAAGAAAATCAATCTTGCTGATAGCAAATATGAGGGCTTTTGTGAAAATCATAATTTTCCTGTTTCTTTTCTAGGATAAAGATAAAGTTTCTCTAACCAAGACTCCAAAATTGGACCGGAGTGATGGTGGCAAAGAAGTGAAGGAGAGAGCTACAAAACGGAAATTACCTTTCACTGTTGGAACAAATGGAGATCAAAAAGATTCAGATACAGGCAAGAATATACAATATGATATTATTTAAAACTGGTCTCAAAATTCAGTGGGTTTGGACAAAGATCAAGTCTCTAAAAAGGATGTGAAAAAAACCACATTTAACAGCAAATCTGCACCTATTTTGATAGGCACTTATTCTTTATGCAGACCACTTTTAATACTATCTCAAATAAAACACTACCTTGATTTCTCTTTTTGGTATTTTTCTCGTCTGTCAATTTGTATCTTTTCAGGAGTGCCAGAAAATTAAGCGCTGCAATTTTTGAGATAAAATGTATAATCATCAGATTATCATTTTGCAAACATAATCTATCTTTTAGCCTTTTATGCTGAATATTCATACATAAATGGTGAAATAAGTGTCTGTAGATTGTCACCTGTTTTATTCTGTCATATGCTGAGAAGCCACAATTGGCCCTGAGCACTGTTCAGTAGCTAAATGTGTCCCACAGATGGCAACTTCGCCTTCCACAATGCACCCCCTTAATTGGACTTTAGCTGTCTGCCTCTGCATTACCAAAACTCTGCCCTCCCCCCAGTGCGAAATGTCCTTCTAAGTCTATCAAAAGTGAGAATTTGAATGTTTCACTGGCTGGCGTTTTGTTTTGGTTTTCTTCTGGGTCCTTAATAACCAGAACAGCAGCTCTTGGCAGCTCCAAGGCCTTGGACTAGTTGGCCTCCTCTGGAAATTAGCAGCCAATGGCATTTATTGCAAATAAGCACATTCCTGCCTGAATATAACAATCATCAGGCTTGGAAATGGAGGTAGCTGTCATTCAGAGGGGCGATCCCCAAATCTGTCATTGGTGGGAGGAAGAATGCAACCTTTTACTTTCTTCCTCAGCACAACGTAGAGGCTTATGGCTCCCTGCCTGGGTTGCCAGGCAGAATCCTTTTTGACTTCCCCAAACACGTGACTGTTGTTTTAGAAGTACGCAATAGGGGTGGTGGTGGGGTTTTGGGGGGGGAATTGGAGTACTGAGCTGACTCAAGGTGAGGAACATACCAAATGCTCCTCCCTCCTCCTGTTTTGCCCACAACAACACCCCTGTGTTGGGTTGAGAGAGAGAATGACTGGTCCAAAGTCACCCAGCTAGCTTTCATGCCTAAGATGGAACTAGAACTCACAGTCTCCTGGTGACTGAACCAAAGTCCCTAGCTGTGTTTTTTTACGCCTACAGCAGGACTAGCATCTCCTGGTTTCTAGCCTGGTGCCTTTACCACTGGACCAGCATTTTCTGGGGACAAGGGCAAAGGGCCCTAAGAGCCGAGGTGGCACAGTGGTTAGAATGCAGCACCGCAGGCTCCTTCTGCTGACTCTTTTTGGGGTCACATATGTAAAACGTCTAGTTTAGCTGACTGCTTTATTCTATGTAAAATATCACGCGAGTCAAGAAAATAGTGGTAACAGGTATCTGGTGAGAAGGTACAAAAGAGACCTTCTCTTTCCTGACATTGGAGTATTGCACTTCTTATGTTACTATGCTTACATTTCCCAGCAGTCTTTAAAATCGACTAGAAATAACTTCCTTATTTTTCTCCCATTTTCTGCAAGTTTATTCCACATATAATTATATCTGCTACATCAGGACAGAATGAAACAAAAAAAAAATCAGAGATTGGGAACAGATTTTAGAAATTCTCTTACTTATGCAGCCTCCAGCAAATCTTCAGCATACACTGAAGAGAAGGCCCTGGAGCTCTTCCAGGTCCACAACGGGTACTCTGTGTGCTTTAAACCCAGCAAGGGAGAGGTCTTATCAGCAGAAGGAAGCAGCCACAGGATCGTACCTTTGAAGAGAGCCGGCAGTGGGTGGGAGACTTTCTCTGTAGCAGTTTCTCAACAGAAGAAGCTTCCCCAGATTCTGTATCTACTCTGGTGGGCTGCTGCTTCCTTGGCTTCTGGCTGAGTCAGAGAGCAGCCTAGAAGATGCCAGAAACCTCTTGCTTGATTCGTAGGCTTCTTCCTGTAAATGCATATCGTGTCCTGCGGTTTGCTTGTTTTTTGCTCTGTTGTTTTGGGAATGCTTGCAGATGGCTGACATACTCCTCAAGTTAGGTCTTTGAAATGTGGAAGGTTCTCAAGTGGGGGTGCTGTTCAGGCCACTGGAACATGGGACCATTTTTTAGAGGACTGCAATGTTCAGATTTGAAGTGGGCAGTAGTGCTCTAGATCCAGCATGCTCACATTCTCCATAATTGCTGGTTTCTCTTCAAGAAGCCTTTTCCTAGGTTGCCACAGCCATCCACAGGCCAAGGAAAATAGTGGTTAAGAAGGTGGTGACAGGGCTGTGACAAACCATCATCCTCTGTTATCAGCTTCTTAATGCCTCAACTCAGCTGGTTGCTAGACTTGCCTGGCTTCCATGGGAACCCCAGAAAAATAATAGATTTTGTAATTGGGTAATGACAGGCACATCTCAAAGACTCTCCTGTCTTGACTGTTTGGGAAGAATGGCCTTTTGCCCTAATTAGGCCTCCGTTCTGTATGCTTAAAGCTGAGGCATTCCATCTACGCCATCCTCTCTCCCAGCCTTCAGGGCAGAGGGCACCGGCTGCATTGCCACAGGTTGCTACTGAGGTAGATTTTTGGATGTAACAGAGCAAGAAAGGCATATGAATCTGGGAACAATCCCATTCATTTGTTTAATTATTTCTGTTTATCTAAGATCTACCTACTATTTTTGTGACCACCCCTCCTTGCACACACACACACGTCATATCCTTCAAAAGCTATGTTTGGCCCAAGCCTCAAGAAAGATTATCCACTCCAAATCCAACACAACTTAATAGATTTTCTGAATGAATGAGAAAAGCTGGAGTTGTAGAGTAGCAAATGTTTTCTCCAGCATGATGAATGTAGCATCCACCGGTGGGTAATCTCAGCCTTCCTGCTCAGTTGAGACTAAATCAGAACTTTAGCCACACCTCCCTTGGGCAGTGCCTTCCCAGTTTTTGACTTAGTCTCAGCTCAGTAGGACGCAACTTTGTTTGGCTCCTCATTTAGCCTAGTTTAGAAATATTTTTCAGGATTATTAGAAGGAATCTGGATCAGGAGTTAGGTTTTAATTTACTTGCAAATTGTCATTCTAAAATTTGGTGCGATTTAGAGAAATTTCAAGGGCATCATAGGTGCCTCTAGGTTCCAAGGGGCCTTACAGGCTCTTTGCAAGCGGAATTTCGGCCGCGCCGGATCGCCGAGGGAGTTAACCCGGATCAGCTGTTTAGCGCTGAAACAAAGTTTTTTGGCATCAGGGATTCCCGGGAGCGCAGTTCGGCCGGGCGGCCTCATTTTGCTCACCTCGTGGCCACGAGGTCTCTGCCGGTACAAACGACGATCAGATTGCAGCGGAGGCTGCACAACTCAAACGCAAGTTGCCTTGGGCTTCAACTAAAAAGGGGAGAAAAGGCATTATTTGAGCTAAGTTCCTCAGCACCTTTCTCAGTCCAGACGGCCTGAATAGATTGGTGATGCTTCTCCCTGGCAGTTGCCATTTTGGGAGACGAAGAGGCCTCACAGCTGCCATTTTGATTGCAACAATAGGCGTGGTTGCCATTTCAGGGCCCTCATGTGCCATAGCGGTACCATCAGGCCTGATCCCAGATAAATTTAGCCTGCTGTGTCAGGCTTCACGGGGGAATTTCTCCAGCACTCCTTTGCACATTTCCTCACCTTATCAAGGGAAATAACAGACGGGGGGGCGGTCGCCATTTTGGTTTTACTAATTGGTCACATCTATACATCACAAATTCTATCTTTCTGTATTACCTTTCGAGGGGGATTTAACGTAGAATCCACCTGTTCCAATTAATTCGCAGCACTGTGCCAGCAGGGCCTAGACAGGCAGTTCTAGTGGACTGTCTGGCTGTTTGCCATTGCGATTGTTCAGAGCGCGGGAACTTCCCTCTCTGATAACCAGATGTGCTTGCTGATTTCCCCCCTTCCTGGACATCTCCTACCTGGAATATCCAGTGTGCGATGGCAGCAGTGCAACTCTTCAGACATCGGCTCTGATGTTCCCCCCGCACAGAAAAAGCGCAGATCTTTTGATTTGGAAACGGGGGGGGGGGAACAAGGCCAAGACAAAGAACATATCCACCAAGGAGCATCCAAAGCAGCTGAGTGAGAGGCCTCGAGGAGACATCAGGCGCTGGAGAGGGAATTCTCCAGAGCTCAAAGGCTCATGTCCAGTGAAGCTGAAGTGGTTGTCCCCGTTTCACTGGACCATTCCCCATTCGAGCCTCAATTTGTGCCTTCTCATGATGCCCCTAGGGCATGGTCTCAGGGGAAAACTGAACAGGTTGGTCCCCCTCCTTCCTCTTCTTCCATCACACACCCTGAAGCCACATATACTCCCACTGCAGCTGGAGTTCATTCTGCAGACGCACAAGACATATGGTCAGAGCAGTTCCAGGCATTCATGCACCATGTGTTTGGTCAATTTATGGCCTCCTCCATGGGTCAAAGGTTTCCGCAGGTAACACCACTCCATATCTTTACCTCAAACGGGGCGTGCCCCGTTAACCGGCTCTGGTAATTCTGAGACATCGTCTCAGTTAGGTGAAGGGGAGTCCGTGGACCTGGAGACAGCAGACATGCCTATGTCGAAGGATGAGGAGGCGGCTCCGGCTCCGACATCTGGTCTCTTTGATTCTTCCCTGTTCAGGTCATTGCTTATGAAGGCCTGTACTATGGCCAAGTTGGCTACTGAACAGGAGCCTAAATCATCTACCTCCTCTGTGCAAGAGTCTAACCCCTTGTTTTCAGAGCAAGTTGTGGAGGAGAAACAAATTCCTTGTCCCAATGTTTTCCGCACTACTGTGGAAAAGCAGTGGTCCTCTTTGGCCACTTTGCCTTCTCCCAATAGCACGGAAAAGAAACTCTTCAATGTTTCTTCTTCATTTTCTTCCCTTCTAGAGGTGCCTACTGTGGATACTCCTCTAACTTTGTTGTTCTTCACATCCACAATCCAGGAGATATGACAGAGGCCCTAAAGGC